CATTTTTGCAAGCTTCCAAAGCCTGTGTAGAGCAAATGCCATTGAATTTAGAAAGAAGCCTCAAAACAAGCAAGAATGAATGTTTAGAATGTTAGTATAAATTCTTTAAAAAGTAAAGTCCCTGGGTATGTTAATAGTCATTCTGTGAAGAAACAGATGTGGGATGGACACAAGTAGGAAATGTTTGATTGCAGTATATTGTATACCATATCTTTCTCTGGTAATATATATAATAATCTTATTTCTTTTTTGTTTGTTTGTTTATAATGATCTTATTTCTTTGAATTTGTTGAGGCTTTCTTTATGGTATGGTACCTAATCAAGTGTCTTAGATTTGTAGAAAATGTATATTCTGCTGTTTTTTGATGCAAATCTCTCTTCTCTATCTCTGTCTCTCACTCTCTCTCATACATATATGAACTTTTCATGGCTTCTCAATAATTTATAGGAATATGACAGTAATCTCCCACAATAATAGTGAATTTATCAATGTTTTCATGTATTCTATTTAAAAATTAAAAATAAATATTTTTATTGATTTCAGAGGGAGGAAGAGGGAGAAAGAAACACCAAAGATGAGAGAGAATCATTGATCAGCTGCCTCCTGAAACCCTTACTCCCCCAACTGGAGTTCTCACTGGCAATCTCGGCATGGGCCCTGAGTGGAATCAAACCTTGACCTCTTGGTTCATGCTCAACCACAAAGCTTCGCCCTTTGGGCTCTACTTTAAAATGTTTTCATATAATTTTTGTTTCATATATTTGCAGATATTTTATTGGGTACATATTTTGAGCTTGTATGCCTCAGCAGTTGAGTATTGATCTATGAACCAGGAGATGACAGTTTGATTCCTAGTCAGTTCACATTCCCAGATTGTGGCCTGGTCCCCTTTGGTGGCATGCAGGAGGGAGCTGATGGATGATTCTGTCTCATCATTTATGTTTCTATCTCTTCCTCTCCTTTCCTCTCTCTGAAATCAATAAAAAAATAAATAAAAATAAACATGTCGTCAGGTGAGGATTAAAGAATAAAATAAAAAACTATGTTGTCTGATCCTATATAATAAAAGGCTAAGATGCAAGTTGTCCCCTGGGGAGTTTGACCAAGCAGGAGTTGGACCCCTCGATATATGTGCTGACCACAAGAGGGCAGCGTGGAAAGAAGGAAGGCTCAGCCGGCAGCCAGTTCGCTGGCCAGGCATAGGGACCCTACCTGTGCATGATTTTCGTGCACTGGGCCTCTAGTATTAATATAACTATACAACTTTTTCTAAGTATTAGACTGATAAGATTCCCCCCACCCCCGTCCTTTAAATTTTAATATAAAATTAGGCCTAGCCTAATTTTTCACATGCCTTTATGTTTAGATGTGCCTAACTCTAATCTGTCAATCTTTGTGCCTTTTAGTAGGCGAATTTAGTTCATATTTATTGTACCTATAAATATATTTGGATTGTTTCTACCATCTTAATTTCTTACTAAAGTTTTTCCCACTTTTATATCTCTTTTTAATACTTCCCTTTAAAAAGTTTATACTATATCTTTCCTTTAATAAATATAAGAACTTATATGCTCACACATTCCTTGATTTACCTTCACGCCAACATCTATGATATTAATAGTCTATGCAGAATTTCATTTCCTATTATTATAGGTATATTTTTCTCTCTTTAATATTAAATAATTTTATAGATAAAAACTATATCATATTTGATTTGATTACTTTCAGTTTATACACTTCTTGAAGCATCTTTTAGAGTTTCGCTCCTTTTATTTAGTAATAGTTTTCAATGTTGGTCTTTATATGGCAAAACTTCTGAGCAATGTATGGATCAGAAAATAGTTTCGTCATGCATCATTTTTATCTTACAGTTTGGATATAAAGTTCAAGTTCAATGTTCTTTATTCTTTAATACTTTGATAATACTATTCTATTATCCCCTTTGCTGCTGATAATATAACAGAACTGATCAAAACAAAACTGATACCAATCCTATATAATAAAGAGGTAATATGTTGCCCTAAGCGGTTTGGCTCAGTGGGTAGAACGTCGGCCTGCGGGCTAAAGGGTCCCAGTTTCAATTCCAGTCAGGGGCATGTACCTCGGTTGCAGTCATATCCCCAGTAGGGAGTGTGCATGAGGCAGCTGATTGGTGTTTCTCTCTCATCGATGGTACTGACTATCCCTCTCCCTTCCTCTCTGTAAAAAAATCAATAAAATATATTTTTTTAAAAAAAGAGGTAATATGCAAATTAACCCTCATGCCCTCACAAGATGGCTGCCTATGACCAGGCTGGCAGGGATTTAGTGAGGGACGACCAAACGACTGAATAAGCAGGCTGTATGGGGTGACCAGGCTGGCAGGGGAGGCAGTTGGGGGTGACCAGCCTAGCAGGAGGATTAGTGAGGGATGACCAAATGACTGAACAGCAGGCTGTGTGGGGCAACCAAGCCAGCCGGGGGAGCAGTTGGTGGCAACCAAGCTGGTGTGGGGGGCAATTAAGGGCGATGAGGGTGGCCTGCATAGGCAGTGAGGGTGATCAGGCCAGCAAGGGGGGGGGGCAGTTACGGGTGACTAGGAAGGCAGGCATGTGAGTGATGAGGAGCCAGCGGTCCAGGATTGTTAGACAGATGTCTACCTGCCAGTTTAAGCCCAATCCCATACACCGGCAGTTGGACTTTCGCCGAGGGGACCCAGATTGGAGAGGGTGCAGGCTGGGCTGAGGTACACCCCCCACCCCATGCATGAATTTTGTGCACCAGGCATCTAGTCTCATTATATACTAGTATGAATGACTCTTTTATTGCCTTTCCCTTTTCAGTTTTGTTAGTTTATGCTTCATGTGTTTTTGGAGTTTTGTTATTAGGTGCATAGATGTTTAGGATTTATTACGTTTTTATTATAAAACAAAGTTCTTTATCCCTGGGAATAAACAGGCTCTGGAATCTTTGTTGATATTAAAATAGCTACTCCAGCTTTCTTTTTATTACTGTTAGCATAGTATATTTTTTCCTGTCCTATAATTTTTTAAACCTTTGATTTTAAACATTTTTGTATAAACATTTTTAATTAAAATGTGTTTCTTGTATATAACATATAGTGGGGTTTTGCTTTTTGTCCATTCAGACCTTTGCCTTTTAACTGCATTGTTTTAAATATGTATATGTACTGTGATTATTGATATCACTGAGTTTAGATCTTTCATCTTGGTATTTGTTTTTTTATTTCCTCATCTATTCATATACCTTCCTTTTTTCTTTTCCTGCCTTGTCTTGGATTATCTTTTATTATTCCATGTTTTCCCCTTTACTGATTTGTTTGCTATACTCTGGAAGCATTAACATTTTCTTTATATTTGATATTCTTAAATTTCTCTATATTGTGTCTAGGTGTGGGTTTCCTTCTCTTCCCTCTTTGGTAATCTATGCTCATTCAGTATCTCTGATTTTTTCCTTTAACTATGACCTCCTTACCTTTTTGTTTCTTGATTGTTTTTCTATTATGTGAGTACTGAAAATTCTAAGTACTGTACATCTCTTTGTTTTTCTTTCATATTCAATTTGTTTCTTGTCTTTTACTACTTCATATTGGGAGATTTCCTCATTTTGATCTTTCAGTTTGATCTCTTTTTCTTTATATCCATTTCATATTTATCCCATCTATTGCATTGTGTTTTATTTTTCCTAATTATTACTTAATGCTTGTTTTTAAAAAATGTTTTCTGATTTCTCATTGCTAATATCTTTTCTTATCTCTTTAATATATTAATTGGCTAATTTAAACGTCCTTGGTTCTCTGTTCTGTTTATGTTGGGATCTGTAATTGAGATATGTTGTTTCTTTGTGAAATAAATACCTTATTATTTTGAGCAATGAGCTTATTTTCTCCTGGGGATACTGGCTAATCTGTCAAGCAGACCTTTAGAGGGAAACACCAGACTCCAAATTACTCAGCTCCGATGACATCAGGAGTCAGTATATTGTCTCTTGGGTAGAGAGCCCCAAGCACCAGAAAACTAATAGCTGCCTCTTCACCCCTCAAAACAACTCCACCCTTCAGGTCTTCATCTGTTACCTAGAGGGTAACACCCATTAGAAAGCAATGCTGTACTTATTAGAGTATATTCCCCGACTTCAGAATTTGGAATGGGAGGGTAAAGGCTGCATCTCTTCCTAAATCAAATAGGAATAATCAGGCCACAATTCAAAAATGTAGTCTGTTAAATTGAAAGAATAAAAGGTTTTCTTGAACTTACCTCCCAAGTAGCACACAGATTTGTCTTGTGAAATATCCAATTGCCATTCTCATCTGTAGGAAAAGTTTCATCTCCAGGCTGAGAAAGTAAAACAAAAACAAATGTTATTCATTTTATTTATATCTGGGAATTGAAATGATGGGATTTGAATTGTCTTTAGGCCAATAGACCCTAGCTCTGGGAAAGCAATTCAAGTTTAATTTTTTATATCCTATATAATAAAAGCCTAATATGGAAATTGTCCCCTTGACCGGGAGTTTGACCACTTGTTATGACGTGGGCTGACAACCAGGGGTGGCATAGAAATGGTGGGTGTCGGTGACACAGTGCTAGCAGCTGGCGGCAGTGGAAATGCTACCAGCCCCGATGGGACCTGACGAGAGTGGGACCTCGGTGGGATGGTGGAGGAGGTGAGTGGATGGTGCCAGCAGCGGCAGCAGGGGACGGGGCTGGCACCTGGCTCCCAGGCATTGAGGAGCTGGGTGAGGGGGGGGGCAGCTATGACTGATTGCTCCTCAGACAGTGACCAGTAGCGGCAGCAGGGGGTGGGGCCACTGCCTGGCTTTCAGGCACTGAGGGAGCAGGGCAGGGGGCCCATCCCCAATCAATTGCCCTGCAGGCGGGATGGTAGAGCAGGTGATGGGGCAGCACCAGGACAAGGCGGGGTGCCAGGTGGGGCTGTGGGAGCTGCAAGGATGCATGTGCAAGCTGGGGCTGTGAGGCTGGGGGCACGAGCTAGAGCCCGATCCCCGCAGGCCACACTGAGGGACCCCACCCGTGCATGAATTTGGGCACTGGGCCTCTAGTGTTTATATAATTATATAATAAAATTGTATTTATATATATTTATTACTTTTATGGGACTGTCCAAAAATTCTTTCATTTTGCCAAAATATGTGACACATTAATCTCATTCTCATTATCCTATCACACTGAGGGACCCCACCCGTGCATGAATTTGGGCACTGGGCCTCTAGTGTTTATATAATTATATAATAAAATTGTATTTATATATATTTATTACTTTTATGGGACTGTCCAAAAATTCTTTCATTTTGCCAAAATATGTGACACATTAATCTCATTCTCATTATCCTATACTGGCATTCATTTTCTCTTTATTTATCAACAGATTATTTTCTTAAGCCATGAGTTTTCTCCTAATTACAGAATTACTCATCAGAAACAGTAGAGCCCTAACCGGTTTTGCTCAGTGGATAGAGGGTCAGCCTGCGCACTCAAGGGTCCCAAGTTTAATTCCAGTCAAGGGAATGTACCTTGGTTTCAGACACATACCCAGTGGGGAGGGTGCAGGAGGCAGCTGATCGATGTTTCTCTCTCATCAATGTTTCTAACTCTCTATCCCTCTCCCTTCCTCTCTGTAAAAATCAATAAAATATATTACAAAAAATAGTAGAGGTTGAGACTCAGTGTTCTGACAGTCTAGTCTAGCCTTACCAAAGTTGAGGAGAGCACGGCGTGTTACTTCTCAGTTCTGGCGGACTTGCTCATTGGTTTTTTTCTTTCACTTTTGGGCCCTCCAGGAGTTCAGCGTTTCTTTTTCCTACTTCACACCATAGCTAGTGGCATCTCCCCTTTTCTGGTTTTTGGGTGATTCTTTCCCAACTAAGGCTAACTGGTGTGGAACATTATCTTTCAGATTTCTCTTTTTTGGCTGTATCTAAACATGCGAGTCATTTCTTATGGGCTTGAAAATGGAATAGAGAGAAATGAAGATGATTCCTAGGGTCTTGGGGTGGATGTTGGTAATCATTTCCTGAGTTTGGGTTAGCAATGAAGAGTTTTTTATGAATATTTTGAGTTTGAAATGACCAAACGTTCGAGTGGCTATTTGAGAAGGCAGGTGAACAGAGAAGTCTCAGAAAGATGCTTAGAAAGACGCCATAGCTGTAGACAAACGTTGGTAGCCCTTACATATAAAATAAAAATCAATCCTTGCAACTATATGAAGTCATTTATAGACACAGGTGGCTCAGTAAGACAAGAATATTGAGAATAGAGGTACTATTCAGGGCATAACAACATTTGGAGGTTGGCAGAGAAGCTACCAAAGAGTCAAGAGAGGGTGGTATTATAGAAGTCACAAGAAGAAGTGTACAGGAGATAATGGTCAACTGTGTTGAAAGATATCCTATAGAATAAAATCCTAATAGGCAAATCAACGGAACAGCTGAAGGACCGGTTGCGATGAGGTGCACTGACCAGCAGGGGGCAGATGCTCAATGCAGGAGCTGCCCCCTAGTGGTTAGTGTGCTCTCACATGGGAGGAACTCTGCTCAGCCATAAGCCAGGCTGATGGCTGCCAGTACAGCGGTGGTGGTGGGAGCCTCTCCTGCCTCCTCAGCAACACTAAGGATGTCCTACTGCAGCTTAGGCCTGCTCCTGCTGGCAAGTGGACATCCCCCGAGGGCTGCCAGGCTGCCAGAGGAATGTCTGATTGCCATCTTAGGCCCAATCTCACAGGGAGCGGGCCTGAGCCAGCAGGTGGTCATCCCCTGAGGGGTCCCAGACTGTGAGAGGGCACAGGCCCGGCTGAGGGACCCTCTTCCCCAGCAGAGTGCACAAATTTTTGTGCACCGGGCCTCTAGTTCTATATAATAAAATCCTAATAGGCAAATCAATGGAACAGCAGAAGGACCGGTTGCTATGATGTGCATTGACCAGCAGGGGGCAGATGCTCAATGCAGGAGCTGCCTCCTGTGGTCAGTGCCCTCCCACAGGGAGAGCGCCACTCAGCCAGAAACCGGGCTCACGGCTGGCAAGTACAGTGGTGGTGGTGGCCAGCAGACTGTCATCCCCCAAGGGGTCCTGAACTGCGAGAGGACCCTTTCTGTCTCTGCTTCCCAAGCTCTTTGTACTTCTCAACACGTCTCATTCCTGTTCATCAGTAACTTCAGTGATCTTTTAAAAATGCCATTCCTCATTTAAAAAGCATAAGGCAGAAGGGGCTGTACAGTGTAGAAGCACAAATATGGGATTGGCATCAGGGGATCCAGGATCTGGTCTCAGTCTGATGGATTTTAAACCTGAGTTAGCTATTTCATTGCCTGGGGCCTCAACCTTTTCTTTTGTGAACTGAAGATATTCTGTATATTGAAATATATATTTCCACCTGATGATTTTATAACATTTTATTAGCTATGAAATGTCAGGCACTGTGTCTGTAATTTCACATATATAACACGAATGACTCCTCACAATACTTGGCAAATGAGTTGGTATCATCTCCAATTTACCAATCATGAAATTGAAGGAAAGTTCAGGAATATCAAAGACAGTATGCTAATACACAATAAAACTGAAAGTCAGTCCCTCTTCTGTGTGACTCCAAAGTTCATACTCTTTCCACTGGACCATGGTTAGGTGATGTGTAAAAGGATCAGGTCATAACTTGACCAAGTCATCTGGCTCACATGTGACAGAGCTGGGATGCAAACAAGGTGCCCTGAATCTGTAGCCCATGCTTCATACCACCATGCTTGCTACGTGACCTCTGATTAATGAGTGCAGCAGAAATCGGTTATTTTGCTTTCTATTATCCTTAGCCTTCTTTTAGAGAGGAGCTCATTGCACATTGTGTGGGCTGACCCAGCTCCAATTCTTGGCCACAGATGTCAGACACCAATGCCCTTACACAAAGATTAGTCAGCAAAAGTTATGACACAAGCAAGGCTGATCTTTGTTTCTTTATGAGGTTTAATGTGTAATCTCTCTTCCTCTGAATTCTTTTTTTCAAAAAAATATTTTATTGATTTTTTTACAGAGAAGAAAGGAAGGGGAGATAGAGAGTTAGAAGCATCGATGAGAGAGAAACATCGATCAGCTGCTTCTTGCGCACCTCCTACTGGGGATGTGCCCGCAACCAAGGTACATGCCCTTGACCAGAATCAAACCTGGGACGCTTCAGTCCGCAGATCAGCAATCTATCCACTGAGCCACGCCAGCCGGACTCTTCCTCTGAATTTTTAAGTTGTATTGACAAGGAAGGCTTGGCATATCAATGGACATTTGCCATCATATAGAAAGAGATTTTTGAGAAAGTGCCAGAGTGTGGAAACATAGTTTCAACTTCTGGATCCAGTTCTTTGGAATTAGATATGCCTTGGAATTCTTAGTTCCCTTTTTTGCTAAAGCCAATTTGAGTTGGGTTTCTGCTATTTATAACAAGAGTTCTGACTAAAACAAAGGTGTTGGGTATACCAAGTAATGTACAAAGAGTATGGAATTGGCTAGGTCAGTATGGGATTGTGGATAGTGAGGATTCTCCAGCTGAGAATTGGGTATTCTTGCTATGCATTTGTATGGCATCTTGTTACATTGTTGCCTTGTTGTGTCTTGAGACTCTGACAATGGGCATACTAGGATTAGAGCTTTAGGGCACTTAGTAGGAAAACATTGGGTGTTAGAGTTTGTTGGCCATTTTTGCAGTCTTCAGTCAGGTACTGAAGAAATATAAATGTGTTTGTTGCTACTTGGCTTGTAAGATGAGTGGTAAGATCATATTTTGCTAAAACAGGTACTTTCTAGATGCCTCCCCAAATGGCAGAAATTCGGCTCTGAGCCTTCTGGAGTTAGAAAAGTCTGTGTCAGCCAGGACAGGAAGGTAAGAATCCTAGAGGGAAATAAAATTGGTCTTTCTGTGTCTCCCTGTTTTGTATTATTTGAAGTCAGAAGGGGCATTAAGCTAAGGACTGATCAGATGAGCGGGGAAAGGATATTTCTTTACTAAGATGCAGAAACCACAGACTAAAGATTAGATACAAGAAGATTTCTAGTTTTAATTACTCTTTAATGGAGCTGACTGAATGTGAATTTACTGAAAGCCAAGCAAATTTTTAAGGAATATTGACTGTCCACGAAATCCCAAACTGGCCATTGACAGCCTTTGCTTAACCAAGGCCTTTGTGAAGCTTGCAAATTCGTATGAAAAATGCAAAAGGGGAATCCTTACCAAAGGTCCTTTTGGATGTTACCATAGAGAAGAGTCATCAAGGAAAGAGCTTCCAGAGAACAGAACAAGGGCAGCCAGGTTGCTCGTGTGAAGGAAATCTGGACAC